GTGTGTGTGTGTGTGTGTGTGTGTGTGTGTGTGTGTGTGTGTGTGTGTGTGTGTGTGCGCGCGCGCGCGCGTGTGTGTGAAAAAAATGGTCGTAAGTCACTTTTTTTGAACGGTCTCTAAGTGGACTGTTGTAAGCCTGTAAGGATCGCCTGTAATCCTCCTCCATGCTGTAGCCTCGGAGAGGAGTAGATCCTAGTTCAGAGGCAGAGGCGGCCTGAGAACGGCCTACCTCGCGGGGCCATTGGGAAAAAGAAAAGCAAACGGAAAAAAAAAAAAGGCCTCGTCCGCAGCTGCGACACGTGCTCTTCCCCGGCGCGGCCAACGGGAGGCCGACTGCGCGGTGATGGCTGCCGAGGGGATTCGGCTGCGGCCGGCGCTGCCGCCGTTGCTGCTGCTGCTGCTGCTGCTGCTTCTCGTCTCTTGCGGCGGGGTGTTCCCGCGGAGCTCCGCGGGGCCGCGCTACTCCCCCGATTGGGCCAGCCTGGATGCGCGGCCGCTGCCCGGCTGGTTCGACGCGGCCAAGTTCGGGATCTTCGTGCACTGGGGGGTCTTCTCGGTGCCAGCCTGGGGCTCGGAGTGGTTCTGGTGGCACTGGAAGGGGCAGCTCCGGCCGGACTACGAGCACTTCGTCCGCCTGCACTTCCCTCCGGGGACCTCCTACGCCGACTTCGCTCCGCGCTTCTCCGCCGTCGACTTCCATCCGGAGGACTGGGCTCAGCTCTTCCAGGACGCCGGGGCCAGGTAGCTGGCGCCTTCCCGTGCCGGATCCCACCTCCCATCATTCCCAGCTGCCGGATCCTCGGGGGAGTGAGGGATAGGAGAGGGAATCCCACGGCCTGCTTGTGGAGGATACCGCAAATCTGATTATTGTTATTGTCATTATTACTATAGTCATTATCATTATTATTATTTGCCATATTTGCAAAGCATGATTAATATTGTGGTACACCCTTTTCCGAATTGCCGTTTATTTTCAAGCTTTCTTGGGAATTCTTGAATGATTTTGTCCTTTTTAGGCCTGTTTAGGGGAGAATTTATTGTGCAAATTATCCTGCGTTTGCAATACCAGGTAATGATATTATGCAGTTTTTTTCTGCCTTATCATGGGGAAACAAGCCAGGACAGCATTTGCATTTGAAACATATCCTGTGAACTTCCGAATGTATGTGGTTGCCTTCAGCAATTTTAGATTCTTTTTAAAGGCGGTGATAACAAATAGATAGCAGCTTAGTCTCTTGGTGCATTCCAAACTACATTTTCTCTATCCTAGAGTACAGCATATAACTAATAGCTTGTTGCGTTCATAGCTTTCTTGACAGCAGGTGATGGATGCTGGATAAGGTAGTATATTGGTTCTTCTCTAGCCTGGGCTTTTGGACTTTTGTCCAAAAGTACAAATAGATGTGAAATCTCTCAGTCTGATTCCCTGTGAACTGGTTGCTGGTATTCCCAATTCACAGATGTTTGTAGACAGGAGAAATTCAAACTCTGGCTTTGGTCCATCCAGTACTTAAACGGGTCATGTACTACCTTTTCTCAGGTATTCTTTGAGTTGCTTGAGCCCCCACCCTGTTTTTAATGCAGATTTTGCCTCTATAATAAAAAGGAATGCTTCTAAGGATGAGCATGGATTCTTTCACCGCAGCAAAGGAAACTTTTAAGTTATATACACAGTATATAGATTGGCCTTAGACATGCTTCATAGTTGGAGAATTCGACTTCATAGAATTGGCACCTCTTAAAAATTAACAGTAGGATGCTTGTCATAAAAATACCTCTTACTGTATATTCCTATGTAAATGTCTTAGAAATAAGTCCCAATGATTGATTTCACACAGAAGTACTAAGCCAAGGTCTGTTTAGTTGTTGAATATGCATCATATCATTAGTCATGCAGTAGTTTAGAATTGGAATGGATGTGCTCAGCCCATCAAATCCATATAATACATGATGTATGAATAAACTAGTGAGATCCATAAATCCAGCCCTGCTCATAGAGATTCAATCTTCCCTCCAATTACATTCATCTTCTAGCAACTACATGGCTATGTCCCTGTAGTTTTCTCGGCGTTCATGTGAAAGGGGCTTGTGTTTTGCTTTTTTCCATAATGTTCTTTCCACTATTTGGACTCGCTTACAATCCTGAAATTTCTGGTGGTCTCCCTCCTGTGGTGCTCTGCTTAATTTAGTTTAGTTTTCTTTTAAGATCTGCCAAGATCGATTAAAGTTCTTCTAGCAGCCGGACACTGAAACTGTAGAGAATTGAAAAAAGGACTCTTGGCTTTTCTTGCCATGAAGAATTAAGGCAGAAGTATTGCTGTATAAATAGATCCGTAAGAGTGAATCCCGAAATTATAATTGGCATGGCTAAAAACAATTGTGTAAAGCTCAGAGAAAAAGCTATACACAGCATTGATTTGTGATACTGAGAGGGATCAGTGGTTAAAGAGAAAGGTAAGTATAAAGAGACATACCAGCATGGTTTCCTGGGAGGAAACGCCATAGAAAGAATAGGCTAGGCCTTAACTACTGGTTCCCAAGAGAATGCAGCCAATCTGGCTAAATTAATGTGAGATGCAAGGAACCAGAACAACTTTTGTCAATAGGCTACAATAGTTTCTTTATTGTTGATCACCTGTTTTACAAGAATCTGGCCAGACCGACTGCATTCCCATGGGAACCAGTAGATAAGGCCTCGCTAGTCTGGTCTATGAATGTTTCCTCCCACAGAGAGACTCCATGCTGGCACGCCTGTTTACTTACTCCCCCTTCTCCTTTAGCTGGTTATTCCACCATAGATACATAATGTGCACAATTTTTAGGGCCCGAGTGATAGTTATTAAGCAGCAAAGATGGACGTTTCTGGTCTAAAATAGGACTTCAAAGTGTCAGTGAAAAAATTACAAGGGCAACCCATAAGGTAGCCTATTTAGCTATATTTAACATAGGCTCGATACAGCTTGCTTACCCAAGAGAGAAGGTGGGCCGAGCCCACCAGTCTCAGGGAAACAGCAACAAATTATATATAAAGGTGACAGGTAGTAAAAATACATGTAAACAAAATTGCAAGGAAATTGTTAAACAAACAAGACATGCAATGTGAGAAAGCTGCCGGGACAATGAGGCAGAGATACAGAAAGCAAGCTAATTTCAGATTCCTACCAACACCAGTAGAGAAAAAGATACAAGATTGAAAAGCATTCCAATATCGGTGCCCCAAGCCACCTGGCAAAACCAGGATATTTTAAGGTCTTTCTGGAATGCCGGAAGGGAGCAGGCAGATTTCACCTCCAGCATCAGAATGTTCCATAGGATAGAATAGATATATCTATTCCCAAGCAACAATTGTTCTGTACAGAATAAGGTTTTGCAAAGATCTCTACATCTGGTGTTACCTCAGTTGGGTGGAGCACACCAGGCTAAAACCTCAGCATTCCATATTTTTGGTGTATCCTTATTCATGTTGATGTTTTTAACTTACTTCTTTTCCCACATTCACCTTATAAATACTAATCCTTCTAATTCTTTGTCTTTGGTTCCCGCAGGTATGTGGTATTTACTGCTAAGCATCATGAAGGCTTCACCAACTGGGGATCGAACGTGTCCTGGAACTGGAATTCAGTGGATACTGGTCCCCACCGTGACCTGGTTGGTGATCTAGGAGAGGCTGTCCGAAAAAGGTATCAATCTAATTTTAAAGGGGGAATCAAGTTGATGTAGAAAAAAAAGTAGGTTTACTAATTAGCTAATAACTTTTGTTTTGTTTAATCTTAGAAACATATCCTTTGGACTGTATCACTCCCTTTTTGAATGGTTTCATCCACTGTATTTACTGGACAAAAGTAATAGCTTCAAGAGCCAATTTTTTGTCTCCGAGAAGACTCTTCCAGAACTCTATGAACTTGTTTTAAGGTAAAAGCCAAACATTTTTGGGCTGTGAAATAGTAGAGAATATCCGTAGCTCAGGTTGTAGATTTCTCTTCTGTTTGTATATGTCTTGTGTATTGTCATGATCAGTTAGTCACATGACTGGTTGTTTGAATTAATGACAATGAATAACACCAGTTGTTTGGGACCAAGCCAGAGTCATCAGCCAGGTCAAAACCTATTACGCACACAAATTCATTGAAGCCTCTTACTCTACAAATGGATCCATCAATAAACACATTGACTTAGAACCAGCATATGAACCTATAAGAATCCAACAGAACCGTTCACCTCCTCACCAACTGAATTTCACACCACGCATCTAGTTATGCGACCCACTGAGCACAACACATAAGACCTATGTAAACAGAAGAGAAACAAAACAAAACATTTCACCCCAAGACCCACTCTAAAGATGTTACTTGGTCTGGTAACATCTAGTGTTGTGGTTGGCCGGCAGCAGGTGCAGACAGCTGAGAAGAGCAAGGACTCAGATGAGGGACCAGGACCACCAGGGAGTGGACTGCTGCCTTCACAGATTGTGGAGCTGACAGGAGTGATGAGGAGGTTCCCGAGGAGCCTGTGCCAAGTGCGCATGCGCTCAGGGTTGCTCACAGGACAGAGGATTAAAAATTACTTTTCATCACCATCGCAATACCAAGTGGCTGCTAATAAGGCAGTTGCTAAAGTAGAACTTCTTGTACATACAATGTAGAAACAAAAACTGTTATAATTCGTTAATTAATTACAATGGTGTCATCATGGAGAAATCAAAGACTCAACTTAGCAGGATGATCCAAAACAGGTAGCCTGTCAACTCATAAAACATTTTGTATACATGTTTTATAGTTGTCAACTGAAAGAAGGGAGGGGGAGTTTCAAAGAGCAGGCAGCAGTGTGGAATCGAAAGTACATTCCATTTATATTTTCTTCAAAGACTGATTAGATGACTGAAGCTTCTGCCACGAAAAAAATCTAATTGGAGAGCATGATTGATGACTCTTGGCTATGGATGTGTTTCGTTGGATGATACACCGGCGGGGGGGGGGGAGCAGGATCAAGGGTGACAGTGAATTACGTATCTTAGAGTTGGCTACATGCTGGCTAATGCCAGCATGTTAACTTCTAATAAATCCTTTGAAGTTTTGGGAGTGTGGCTCGAGGCTCATTATTTAATTGGAGTAAGTGCCAGAATCCTGACATAGCCCTCAACAGTCGGTTGAAGTTACAATAGCACTGAAAAAGTGACTTATGATCATTTTTCACACTTGCATTCATTGTAGCATCCCCGTGGTCACATGATCAAAATTCGGATGCTTGGCAACTGGTTTGTATTTACGACGGTTGCAGTCTCCTGGGGTCATGTGATCTCCTTTTGCGACTACTGACAAGGAAGCTGGATTCACTTAGCAATTGTGTTAGTAATTTAACAGCTACAGTGAGTCACTTAACAACCGTGGCAAGAAAGGTCGTAAAATGGGGCAAAATTCACTTAACAAATGTCTCGTGTAGCAACAGAAATTTCGGGCTCAATTGTGGTCATAAGTCAAGGACTACTACAAGAAAAATGCAGCTGTTAAATATTTTGATTTTATCACTTGTTCTCTTTTAGATACAAGCCGGATCTTGTTTGGTCGGATGGCGACTGGGAAGCTCCAGATACTTATTGGAATTCAACTTCCTTCCTTGCCTGGCTATACAATGATAGCCCAGTTAAGGTATCTATCTGCACTTGCAGGTGTTTCGACTTGGAGGTTGTTCTCCTGTTTGCTTAAACTAGGAGGAAACCATTAAAATGGTTGATTCTTGGGTCCTTTGCACCTGGTTACATCCTAAATGAAACTTTGGCCTCGTTTTCCTGGTCCTGCGGGGAGAGGTAATGTGATGACCCTGAGTGTAACACAAACGTAACAAAATCCAAAACGTAAATAAATGTCCTTTAATGCCTCCAACTTGGCCCCCTGTTCAATAATTCTCAGTTGGAGATAAAACTTATTCAAAAATAGTCTTCAAAAGAAAGCAATACAGTCCGAACTTAATGAGCAGATAGAGGTGAAATAAAAAACCAAAACAAACTACAATGACGAAATTTCCACAACGGACCAGGATAAGTAATTACCAGCTTCAAGGAGATAACAAGGCACAGTCTGTTGGAAGGATGCCAACCAAGATAACTTCAGCCCAAAATAACACACGCTTTGCAATGCTGTGTTTTAACTGTCTCTCTTTTATACTGTTGTCCCCAGCTGCAACCACTGAGCGGGATCATGGCCGCTTCCTCTCTCATAAGCCAAATTGTTGCCTTCTCCATTCCTCCTTGCATGTTCTAGGATGCACAAGGGATGGGCCTGGTTCTTCCTCTGACTGCCTAGCCGGCCTCTGCCCTTCCCCAGCCTCTCCCCAACCTCCGGAGCCACACACCCCCTCCTTGTCAGCTGTTCCTCCTCTCCCTCAGAGTCCGACTCTACCAAGGGACTCTACAGGTAACCTGGTGTCATAGGTTGGGTACCTCAAGAGGTCAGAAATGCAAAAAAGTTCCTATCCTGCATGTTACAAAGAAATGTGGAGAGAACTAGCTACGCTTACGTTGTTCCAACTCCATGTATACAAAGTGTAAGATTGTAGAGCAGGGGTGAAAAACTGGATTTCTTCGAAGACCAGATCAGCATTGTAGTTCCCCTCGGTGGGTTGGCAGCAGTGAGGGGGATGTGGGACGGATGCCTCCTGCAGTACTCTGCCAGACGAAACAGGGTGCAAGGGGGGGGGCGGGGGGCCCCCCCCCCCCCCCCCCCCCCCCCCCGCACCTCGTTTTTGCCCTCCATGGCCTCCTGCAGCACTCTGCTGGCTGAAAACGGGCCACATGGCCCGTTTTGGGGGCCATTTTTCGGCCGTCTTGGGCCTGTTTTTCAGCCCAGTTTCGGCTCAGTTTTCGGCTGGCAGAGTGCTGCAGGAGGCCATGGAGGGTGAAAACTAGGCGCCAGGGGGGCGCACACGGCCCACTTTAGCCACCCGAGCTACCACAGGCCAGTCCCTTGATATATCCAGGCTGACCCCCGTGGGCCTTGAGTTTGACAACCCTGCTGTAGAGGGAAAGCGATGGGAGGTGCCAGCATGAAGAACCAACTTTGAAGTGCAATCTGGAGGGGAGACTTATCAATCGGTCGCCCTGTTCTTGTGCCTTTGCTCTCGATCAAGTCAGGAGCATCTTGATTCTATATTATGTTGTAGTAAAACTTAATATTTAGATAAGAGAGCAGAGGAAATCTGTCTGATTAACACTAGCATGCAGAACTAATGTGTCTTAAGACAAGTGTGTCTAAGTTAGCCTGCAGCAATTCTTGGTATCTCTGCATTATAAATTATTTGCAGTATTTATTAATTAGAGCTATGCAGTATTGATTAATTTTAGAGCTATAGCTATATTTATACTGCTATGCAGTATTTATTAATTGGAGCTATGCATTCAGGTGCCTTGCCAAGTGAATTGGTACAACAGAGCACCAACTTTGCAGCGTTAAAGTAGCTACATTCCATAATTCAAAGGCTTTGTCTGGCTAAGCATACCACATGCACACTCATGAACAGAAAACTGGATGTTTTATTCTGGGATCAAAATAAAGCATGTTCTTTGCTTTGTACACATCCTTTTACTTTCCCCGTCTGCAAGTTGCTACCTCTTGGAAGGGGGTGGATAGAAAGCTGCAAACCGTCGCTAACCGTTGCTTCCTGACACAGATTCTGGGCTAGGCATCTTATAGCCCTCAAGAAATAGACCGGTGTTTTCCCACCTTGATAACTATAAGATTGTGGTTTTAGATTCCCAGAATTCCCCAGCCAGCATTTTCTGTCCACCCCTCTTAAAGTTGCTAAGATTGAGGAGAGACTAATGTGGATGAACTGGGATTTTCAGAGTCCCTCACCAGGCTTGACTGGGGCTGCTGAGAATTGCAATCGATTGATATATGGAGGCTGCTTCCTTCCCACCCCAAGGGATGCTTCCCCTTGATTTTGACCTCAGATGGAATAACATTGGAATAACTATCGGCCCACTTTGGAGGGGCTGGCAAGGGCTGCCCTAAAGCCTTTGCTTTACCCTTAAAAGACAGTAATGCAACCCACCAACCTCAAAGGCCCCTTCTGGATTTCTCTTTTCCAGGATACCGTGGTGGTGAACGATCGATGGGGCATCAATTGCTCCTGCAAACATGGGGGCTACTACAACTGTCAGGATAAATTCGAGCCCAGCTCTCTGCCAGACCACAAGTGGGAGATGTGCAGCTCTGTGGACCAAAAGTCGTGGGGATATCGCAGCAACATGCAAGTTGGTGAAGTCATGAATGAGTTTTCCATTATTCAGGTAAGGCCTGGGAGGGATAAGCAAAGGCTGAAGAGATACCCAAAGAACCTACAAAGAACCGCTGGATCTGCAACAATACCAATTATACTTAGGCTTATATACAGGTAGTCCTCAACTTATGACCGCAGTTGAGCCCAAAATGTCTGTTGTTAAGCGAGACATTTGTTAAGTGAATTTTGCCCCACTTTATGACCTTTCTTGCCTCAGTAGTTAAGTGAATCACTTTGATAAGTTAGCAACACGGTTATTAAGTGAATCTGGCTTTGCTTGTCAGAAGGTATTGTGGTTAGCAGGCAGCAGGTTGGGATGGCTGAAGAGAGCGAGGACTCAGATGAGGGGCCCGGACCATCAGGGAGTGGACTGCTGCCTTCAGAGATTGTGGGCTGGCAGCGGTGATGAGGAGGTTCCCGAGGAGCCTGTGCCAAGTGTGCGTGCGCGCAGGATTGCTCGCAGGAAAGAGCAGAACAACAGCACGGGCGACTCGGGAGTAAGGCTGCAAGGTAATGGCCCCTTCTTCAAGAAGATAAAAGCCAGCTGTGAATCGGACGTTCTTTGTAGGAAGCAAAGACGTTTTGAAACTCAAGCCTCGTGGACAGTGCAGTATCTTAGTTGGTATTTGAAGACTCTTGTGTTGTAAAATATTTCTAGATAACCTTATCTGTTATTCTTGGCAGCCTCGCACAGTTTTGGCGAGGCTCGTGCTTATCAAAGTTAATTAGTTTGCAGCAGCCTTTTAACCGGGGATTTGTAAGAATCATTAAAAGGTTTCTGTTCCCTTTGGTCCGTGTTTGTTGTATTGGAAAAGGGTTTGGGTCAGAACAGCAGGTCACAAAAGGTGATCGCATGATCTTGGGACACAGCAGTGATCATGAATATGAGTCAATTGCCAAGCACCTGGATTTTGATCACATAATCAGAGGGAGGCTGGAAAGATCGCAATGGTGAAAAGCAGTCCTAACTCACTTTTTTCAGTGCCATTCTAAGTTTGAACGGGCACTAAATGAATTGTTGTAAGTCAAGGGGGCTATTCATATCACTTCAAGGTGTCCTCTCTAAGCAGTTTAGCATATTTCACCCAACCATCTGGCTCCTCATTTTATCGACCTCAGAAGGACGGAAGGCTAAATCAATCTTGAGCCGATCAAGATTGAACTCCAGGCTGTGGGCAGAGTTTACTTGCAGTAAAATAATCTCCACATTTGTATCCAAGAGAGTTGGTGAGATAGCAGCTCCCACCTCCACTTCAAGGACAGGCTTTTGTTTAGTTGATTTCTCTCCTGTATTTACTATTGTATAAGTCACTCCAGGCCATGAATGTATGTAATACGTGTTTTTTCTCCTCAACAACCACCCTGCGTAGTGGGTCTGGCTGAGAGAGAGGGACTGACCCAGGGTCACCCAGCCAGTTTTCCAGGGCTGAGGCCCTCACTGTTTCCTGGTTCCTTCATCACTAAACCAGACTGGCTTAAATTGAAAAGGTGAATGAACAACCAAGCAAACCTAGGCAGCTTGACAGAGAAGCGTCAATTCCTGCAACTGATATGCTATAAAGCAAGGAGCAGGAATTTTCTACAGATTTCCCCCAAATAATCTGTAGCCTTCTGGTGTTGCTTTCTACTCAGCTGGCTAGAGCTGGCTTGCTGCCTTGGCCTCCATTTTGTGTGTGCACTTGCTGACTGGGAGGCTAGATGTGTGTGTTGACCTCGTCTTACACAGGCAGCCTCAAGAGTACAAAGAGGATCACAACAATGAATATAAAAATTGGATTTTGTTAGGTCTTTGAAAGCGGGAATGATTTCCAGGAATTGTTGGACCTTTCCTGCAATTGTTAGGCCTTTGAAAGTAAGATAGGTTCCCAGGAATACATAAATGCAACTAAACTATCTTTAATTATACTAGTTATTATCTCTTAATTATTAAGACACTGGGGGTGGTGTCAGTGGATGATGAGTAAAGCTTTTCAAAATCAGTACTATAAAGCAGGGGTCTCCAACCTTGACAACTTTAAGACTTGTGGACTTCAACTCCCAGAATTCTGGGAATTGAAGTGCACAAGTCTTCAAGTTGCCAAGGTTGGACGCCCCTCCTATAAAGTACCCTTCAGCTTCAGGTGAATCACATATGCAATTTATTGTTATTTTTAGGGCCGGTTAGAAAACCCCTTGGGATGAATGAATATGTAGTTTACAGGTGGCATTGCTTAACGACTGGTTGCTTGCTTAGTGACTGGTTCCTTGTTTAATGGTCACTTTGTGACCATTTGAAGTTGGTTCTTATTGGAAAGCGGGGTGTAATCTCATAATTAAAACAATTATGGATTGTGTGGAAATGAATAAGCTTACTATGGAGTGGCAAGAGAAGGGAAAAAGAGAATTCTATACAGTCTGGGAGAATCTATATACTTTGATAGATAACAGGAATAATAGCTAATATATAATGTAAATATGAATAATGTATATATGTATATAGATATAAATAATAGAAGATGGAAAAAACCAATGCCACAATGTACTGCAAAAATTTTAAACATGATTTGTGGGTTTTTTAATTGTAAAACTTTAATAAAATCTATTTAAAAAAAAAAGTTGGTTCGATGACCACCCCAAAAGACACATAACTCAGATTCAAAGTTCCGAGCCAGAACTGTCATGTGATTGCATTATGGGCGCTTAGGGACTGGCCCATATTTACAGCGGTTTGTAATGGACACATGATCGCTGTTTACAATGTCTTTTTGCTGGACACCATTGTTTACTTCCGGTTCTAGCAAAAAATGCTTGTTGCAAGAATGGGTTCGCTCACTTACCGCCACATTCATTTAATAGCCACCACTAAAAATGTCCTAAAATCGAGTCTGTTGATGATCTGCTTAATGAACAGCATGACGTACAGCCATAATTCTGTGTTCATAATAGAATAGAATAGAATTCTTTATTGGCCAAGTGTGATTGGACACACAAGGAATTTGTCTTGGTGCAAATGCTCTCAGTGTACATAAAAGAAAAGATACATTTGTCAAGGGTCAAGAATCATCAGGTAGAACACTTAATAATAGTTATAGGGTCCAATAAACAATCAAATCATACAGTCAATATAAATCATAAGGATACAAATGACAAAGTTAGTTATGGAGTGAACATTGCAGTTTGCCATACCTGGGGGGAGGGAGTTGGTGCGGTGGTGACAGGCAGCAGCGGTGAACGGCGGCAGCAATCCCTGCGCCTGGAACAGCTGATCGGCGGTATTCCAGGAGGCCGCCCAGTGGAGGCAGCAGACCTGGAAGAGGCAGCAATGGTGGCGTTTCCAGTCGGCCAGCCCATTGATTGGCAGGGCTACGGGAGGCTGGGATCCAGCTGTTGCTCAGCTGACCGAGGGTCAGCGCAAAGGAGTGGAGCCCTGATGAACCACATGCTGGGGCTACGATAACATGCTGAAGCTGACCGGGCTGTTTGCGGCAAGGGTGCAGAGGCAGATTTTTTTTTCTTGTTTTCCTCCTCTAAGCCTAGGTGCATCTTTATGGTCAGGAGCGTCTTATGGAGCGAAAAATACTGTAAAGACCTTGGCCGACGTTCTGAACTATGCAGATGCTTTCATGGCTGCATACCCCAATGTTTTCAAAGCCTGGAATGCCGCCAGACCGAACGCATGGCTGTAAAGGGTTTTAAATAGATTTTTGTTCTCTTTCTGCTTCGCCATAGCAACTGGTGCGTACTGTCAGTTACGGAGGAAATTACCTTCTCAACGTGGGGCCCACCAAAGAAGGACTGATTGCTCCAATTTTCCAAGAGAGGCTCCTGGCTGTTGGCATGTGGCTGAAGGTGAACGGAGAGGCCATATATGAATCCAAGCCTTGGCGGACGCAGAAGGAGAACCGCAGTGAGGAGACCTGGTAAGGCAAAGTTTGTTGACATCGGCTGCTTGTTCTCGGACCCTCTGCTGCATTGAACAGTACAGAACAACAGAGTTGGAAGGGACTTTGTAGGGTCTTCTAGTTCAGGGGTCGCCAACCTTTTGGACCTCAGGGACCACCAAACTCATAAATTTTAAATCCTGCAGACCAGACACCCTGGGAAAATGCCCCAAAAAGTCTGCTCCCCACCCCATTTTCCTACGGATCGATCATTCTTTATTTGGGATCGCAGGATATTGTCTCCAGATCTCTCTCAGGGGGAGAGAGAGAGAGAGAGAGACTTTTGGCTTATGCAAGGAAAGCAGCAGAAGTCTTTCTTTCTCTCCCCTAAATTCCGCAGAAATGAGTCTTTGGGAGACTTGTCGTGCCGGCACAGCCTCCTGGAGCAGGAAGCCTTGCAAGGGTCCCAAAGACTCATTTCTGGCAGAGTTTGGGGGAGAGAAAGAAAGACTTTTGCTGCTTTCCTTGTGTACAGCCAAAAGCAGAAGAAGAAAGAAGCGGAAAGAAGAAGCCCGGTGGCCAGGTGAGGCACGTGGAGTGAGTGGGGCAAGTTTCCCCTCTGCCTTTTCCCCCCCTCCCCTCACTACTTTGTGGTGTTTGCAATGCAAGCGACGCAAGCCTTGTGTTCCCGCGGGCCACGTGGGCGTTGCAGCCTTGTGTTTCCACGCAGCCTGGATTAATTGCTTTGGGGGTGACCACCAAAATTTTCTCGTGGACACCAGTGGTCCCCAGCCCACTGGTTGGCGACCACTGATCTCATCTATTCCACCACCACCCCCAGCCAAGCAGGAGACCCTACTACACCATTTCTGACAGATGGAAGTCCACTATTCTTGGAAGCTTCCAGGGATGAAGTTCCCACAACTTCCGAAGGCAACTTCTGTTCCATCGGTGGATTGTTCTCACTGTCAGGAAATTCCTCCTTATTTCTAGGTTGAATTGCGTTGTTTCTAACGCTCCTATGAGCAAAAATTTGGCATTGCAGATAGTCCTCGACTTACGACCACAATTGAGACCAAGATTTCCATCATTAAGTGAATTCTGCACCATTTTACAACCTTTCTTGCCATGGATGTTAAGCGAATCATTGCAACTGTGATCTTTGTAATCTATTATTAAGTGAATCTGGCTTCCCCATTGACTTTGCTTGTCAAGTTCTCAGAAAGTTGCAAAAGGGGATCATATAACCCCGGAAAACACTGAGACCGTCATAAATACATGCCAGTTGCCAAGTGTCTGAATTTTGATCACATGACCATGGGGAATGCTGCAATGCTTGTAAGTGTGGAAAACGGTTGTAAGTCATTTTTTTCCAGTGCTGTTGTTAAGTTTGAACAGTCACTCAACAAAATGTGCAGTCGAGCATTGCCTGCATCTGCTTGGAAACAAGAGGAGCACAAAACATAAGCCATGGTGGCGCAGTGCTTAGAGTGAGGTACTGGAGGCTACCTCTGCTGCCTGCCATCTGCCTGCAATTTGGCAGTTCAAACCTCACCAGGCTCAAGGTTGACTCAGCCTTCCATCCTTCCGAGGTGGGTAAAATGAGGAGCCAGATTGCTGGGGACAATAGGCTGACTCTGTAAACCGCTTAGAGAGGGCTGGAAAGCACTACAAAGCAGTATATAAGTCTTAGTGCTTATTGCTCTTCCTTCCTTCCTTTCCTTCTTCTATTCCTTCTTTCCTTCCTTCCTCCCTCTCTCCCTCCTTCAGCCTTCCATCCTTCTGAGGTGGGCAAAATGAGGACTCAGATTGTTGGGGTCAATATGCTGACTCTGTAAATCGCTTAGAGAGGGCTGTGAAGCACTGTGAAGCGGTATATAAGTCTTAAGTGCTATGGCTATTGCTGTTGCTATACACAAATGTAGAAGTCACAAGGTTGAAGTTCTGAGCAAGTTTCTATAACTTTCTGGCTGGAGAGTAGGCCTTCCCCAGGAGATTGTTATGAGTACAGGGAGCCTTCTACTTTTCAAAGTTATAATGGACCTGTGTGTGTGTGTGTGTGTGTGTGTGTGTGGTGGGGGTGGCGGGACATTCCAGATTGGAAGTTCCAACCCCTCCCCTGCAATCACATGACCTCATTTAGCAGCCAGTCCACAATTGCAACATCCTGCGCTCATGTGACCATACCTTATGGAGTTTTTGGTGAAAATGGGAATTTTCTTACTGTTTTCAGTTTAAGGAGTGCAGTTTCACTTAACAATTGCAATAATTCATTTAACAACCACTGCAGAAAAGCTTGTAAAATCTGATTCATCCTGTGGGTGACCTGATTTATAACCGCCCAAGTTATGACTGTGATAGGCAGGCTCTATTTCCAGTCGTAACTCAAGGACTACCTGTATGCACTGTTACCTTAGAAGTGGGCATGTTTTTGCCTCTCTTTATTTGGTTACCCTAGGAACATTCAGAAAAATAGCTGAGAGAAATAGTCATCAAGCGTCTCAGTTAAGGTTTAAATGTGTATTATTTTTACTGAAGTGGTAGACAGCAACTTTTGCAAAACGCTGCATGTGATGCTGCACTTTTAAAATGCAGGAAAAATCTGGTTAAATGCAGATAACTAGTGTAGATTCAGTTGACTGAGCATGAGAGCCCTCTCCCCTCTTTTATTGTTCACAGTCCATGAAAATTTGTTTTCAAAATTGGCTTTTTTTTTTTTTACTGCTTTGTGCTACTTTGGACTTAGTGGCAGGACGTGGCTAGATTACAGCCTTTTACAACTGTTGTTCAAAGGACTTTCCTAGTACCTTCTCCTTGTTCAAAAATAATTAAAACTTAAGGCTTTGTTTATTTTAGTTGACTTGCTAGTGTTTTGATGGATCTGTGGAAAGTAAGAGAAAGACGGTAGGATTGTTTTTATTCTGTGAAACAAAAGCAAATCTGAATCTCTTCCCCTCACCCCCCCTCCGCCTTTTAAAAGGAAACCTAAAATTGTATGAAAACTTCTAGCCCAGCTGTGAAGGAGTGACAGATGGGTCATAAACAAGGAAGGGTAGTTTTGGAGGTGACAAAGAGAACATTAGAAGAGCCTTTCCCTGCAGTGGCAGTTTGTGGAAAGTTTCGCACATGTCTTGCCAGGTTCCCTGCCATGTTGTTGACGGCAGCAGTTGAAAAACAAGGACGGACAGTAATGCAATATTTGCATGTTCAGAGGGTGTGCGAGGCTGAGGGTTTCATCACACAGGGCTGATCAGCCCCAGCGTGTGAGAAAAGCTAAGTATTCTGGCCTTCACCTCCAGTCAAAAGTGATCGAGGGAAGGACTTGCACAAATGAAAGGCCTGTTATCTCCAATGGCGGCTGTCTGTTTCAATACTTCCATATTGTTTGCCACAATTCAAGCGTTTTGCCTTATGTTCCTCTCCAGGTACACCTCAAAAGGGCCGGCAGTCTATGCTATTTTCTTGGTGTGGCCAGAAGACAATGTGCTGACTCTTTCATCACCTGTTGTGTCTGCAAGTACTCAAGTAAGCAACATGAAAAATAAAAGGCGGTTTGGAAGTCATCTGGAGTAGCACACTGTGATGTTTGGGAAATCTAATTTGTTTTGTAAACTAAGTCAGTTTCTTTTCCACAACAACACAAAAGTCTCTCACAACAATTATGCACAGAGGAAAGCCAAATCTGCAGGATATCTAAAACAAGATTAATAACACCGAAACACCAAAAAGCCCAACATTCTCCCCAACCAAAACGTTGCTGATAAATGCAATTTTTTTTTAAAAAAAGCAGAACATAAAACTGTTTTAACCAAATGAATACCCACACACCACACTTCAAAAATAATTTGGGAAAAATACTCTGCAACATGAATACAACTCCTGTCTGCAACTCTTGAATGCATCACATGGAAGATGTTACCTAATTGGATAATGAAACATCTTCAACAAAAACAAGTCAGCTTAGAGAACACTCAGGACCGCAGAGTTCAACCCTGAGCTACAAATATTCTATTTCTCCTCTTTAAATAGGTGCAATTTTTTCCAGAATTGTATGGCTGCTTTCCACTGTTGCTGTATCATCCTGGGAAAAGATGCAGCTGCTTTAAAGTGTAAGATCCCAGCAGTTTCCCCGAGTCACTTAAAATGCCAAAAACAGTGAGACTCCAGACGAGGCTTGTAAAAAGAAACAGATTTTATTTATGGCCGGAAATAAAGATCTGGATGTACTCTATCCAGGATATATAGATGCAATGCGCGCCGCACCTTGGAGAAAGTATGGTTTGCTTTTATACCCTGAAACTATCATTGTCTTATTCTCGAACTCCAGCCTCCTAACCTCCTGCAAAAGGATGCTTTCAATGTTATCTTAAGCTTGGGGAATTTCCTTGTTGTCCTAATTAGTCAAATTAGCCACTTGGTTCCCTGCTGCTAAACGGAACTAACATGCTCAGGTCAAAGGTGTGTGTGTTTTGCCCGGAGAGCTTGAGATATATTACGTGCCAGTTCCTCAGGAATAGGGGTGACAGGAAAAGGATTTATGGATTTAGGATGGATTCAGATAACAACCATTTGTCTGGCATGCCTGGATGCAGGAAGGATAGAAGAGGGTTGCAGGAGATTACATAGCACACAACGAATGTCAAGTAAATGCTTGAATAACAAGTCCCCACCAATGCTACAGTATATTCTACTTTTATTTAGTATACCCTTATTAATATTCCCCTACAAAAGCATTGCAGAGATTGGCAATTGGGGTATTACATGCTCTGGAGCACTTTGGGGTATTTAATCCAGAACCCCAGGTGACTCTTGCCACCAGAAGGAAGATGATGCGATTTTACTGAATGCACAGGAAGTTTATTTGGCCATTTAACGTATCTCTGTCGAGAGGCCATTCTATGACTGTCAGCCTGGCTGCGACTTGCATTTTCTTGGGTTTCAGCTAGCCAAGAAATCTCGTACAAGTAATCTTCGAGTTATATTAGTTCAATTAGTGACCGTTCAAAGTTACAACGGCACTGAAAAAAGCGACTTATGACTGTTTTTCACACTTACGACCATTGCAGCATCTCCATGGTCACGTGGTCAAAATTCAAATGGTTAGCAACCGACTCATACTTTGACGGTTGCAGTATCCTGGGGTCATGTGATCTCCTTTTGAGTTTCTTATAAGCAAAGTCAACAGGGAAGCCAGATTCAACGTAACAACCATGACACTAAGTTAACAACTACTAGGATTCACTTAACAACTGTAGCACGAAAGGTCATAAAATGGGGCAAAATTCACTTAACAGATATTTCACTTAATAGAAATGTTGGGCTCAATTATGATATTAAGTTGAGGGCTACCTGTAAGGCTCAGCTGTTAAAACGTAACTACGGGAGGAAGAACATCTACAGAAGAAAGCAGTCTTGAAATTCTCCAAGTCTGTCAAATTTTAGATTCATGTTCTAAGATTTTTAATTAAAAATAAGTGGATTATAGTTACTGTAAGAACTTGAAAATTCTATTTCTCAATCAATTAGAGGAAACTCTCTTACTAGCCGGATGGATGCCAGACTGTTCCTGTAATAGGCAGGAAATGAAATGACTTAAAGCTTGCAGAATTCACCTTGTTAAATTCTTTCATCTGGTGGTTCATCTGTGTTGCAACTGCGGTGTACCTATTGCTCACATTAATTTTTAATTGTCTAATGCAGGAGTCTCCAAGCTTAGCAACTTTTAAGATTTGTGGACTTCAACTCCCAGAATTCCTTTGCTGGCTGAGGAATTCTGGGAGTTGAAGTCCACAAATCTTAAAGTTGCTAAGCTTGGAGACCCCTGGTCTAATGCTAACATACCATCAAGGGATACAATTAGACTATGTTCAGCCCTTGGGAAAGAAAGATATGCTGTTTTATGGCTGTTGGCATTTAAAATAGGTCATAATGCAGCTCCCCATTGTTAAAAGTTAGACACTAGTTCTTCTTCTGACACATCCGTCATCGGACGTTGGTGATCATGTTGGCAATCCTATTTTTATCAAACAGCCGCCCGAAAAAGTGCTGCTGAGTTCTGTCCAAACCAGCCCCATAGATTTTGGAGCCCTGATGTTCTTCTGCCTGGACCTCATTTGCTTTCAATCTTTCCCTGGAGGATTAAGTGAAATATGCCGTATTTTTCAGGGTGTTGCATCACATGTCCGAAATATTCTAACTTTCACTTTTTTATGGTTTTGATGATTTCCCTTGGCTTTCCCAGGCAGCCTCATTTCTGATTTTGTCAACCCAGCTTATAGGTAACAGCCTTCTGTAAATCCACATTTCAAATGCTTCTAGTCTCTTCAAGTGGCTTTCTGTCAGACCAACTCTCCACTCCAGGAGGCTGGCTAGCACCTTGGAAACCTCTCTGCTTTTAAATTTTTAATTCTCTTATTGTTTTAACTGTCTGCTAATGAAGTATTTATATATAGCTTTTATGTATTTATAACTTATTTGTACACCACTCAGAGTCACTTTGTGAGGGAGATGGGTGGTTTCTAAATGTGGGGGGTGGATGGATGGACAGACAGAGCAATAGATAAAAATATTGTTGTCAAAAAAAGCCTTATTTATGCATAGAGTCTCTAGCAGCTGAGCCCAACTGAAGGAAGTGTTTTACCTTTTGTTTCTTATCCTTGGCAGATCACAATGTTGGGATTCTTCAAGCCTTTAAAATGGCAGTCATCACCACAACAAGAATTGCAGGTCTTCTTGTCCTCAGAAAGTCGTTGGCTTCTCCCAATCAACAACGGCTGGGTTGTGAAACTACTTGGAGTATCCTAATGGGAAACAAATCGCAGAATGACTGTCCATCCTTTTTATCTCGTGCTTAAACCTGGTAATTAAGAGAGCCTGAACAAATCTGGAAGAAGTTCCACATAAAAGAATGCTTTAGCATTTCCAGGCTGGCCATCCTTGTGCTTACCATTTTCAAAAGGATGGTTGTAAATTAAGAGATCCAGCTTGAGTTAATCTCGATGTAACACAGAAAGCCAAAATTGGGCTGAGAAACATCGAAACTTTGCTTCAGTGAAAAGAAAAATGTCTACATTTTCTGATGCAAAATTGGCTGTGGAAGAGGCCTTGAAATGCCATTTTTCCCAGGAGCTGGTTTTGAAATGCAAATCTACTTCACTCAGTTAGTCCTGGATGAAAAAAATTATATGAGGTTAACTTCAGAAGGTGACTTCAAAAGCCTCCACAGACGTTCTGCTTGAGGCGGAACAGAGAAGCCTTGAAGCTACGCTTAAAAATAAGCAGGGGATAAGGGAACGCTGAATGATCTGGGACTGCTAATAGCAAACCACTAATAATAGATCCCATTATGGGGCAATAGAGAACGATATGCCAGGTGTACTGAAATGATGAAATGACTTGAGAAGAAAAATAATGTCATTCTTGGAAAGCAGAGTATTATGATACGCGGTTTTGTTTTTGGGGATTTCAATATCGGCCAAGGCAGAGAGCTCTCCTGGAATAGGGTCTAATGCTATGTTTGTTTTCATGAAAGTTACATTTAAAAAAGAAATCCTATCTACTGGTTCCATCTGTGGAGGTGACAGATATAGTCCTTTCTTACTTTTTAGTCTTTTGTTGGTCATTCTTGCATCCAGGCAAGATTTGGTAGCTCAAAAGATCCAGTTGAAACAATTTGATTGCAGAAAGTACGGTTTCAGCAACAGAGTGGTCAATACCTGGAATGCACTACCTGACTCTGTTGTTACATCCTCTAACCCCCAACTCCTTTAACCTCAAACTATCCACTATTGACCTCACCCCTTTCCTAAGAGGTCTGTAAGGGGCGTGCATAAGTGCACAATTGTGCCTGCCATCCCTGTCCTATTGCCCCCATTTATTCGTACCTATTTCTTGTGTTCATACCCATGTTTATTCTTACACCTATTATCTTGTAAGCAATTGACAAATCAAATAAATAAATAAAAATAAACTGCATATTTACTAAGCCCCTTTCAGCCATAGGTTTCAGCCAATGGTTCTCTATTTGTCTACATCTACTTTCCTCGCGGGCTTCTCATGCAATCTTCCTTTGCTACTACCTTCCCTTTTGATTTTGTTTTTTTAATAGACTAGGATATAGGTGATGAAATACACTTCTGTTCCATCCCTCAAGGATGGTTCTGGTTTTCTAAATGCAAACCAGTCATATCCTTGTTCAGGAAAGAAAAAGTATTTAGTCACAAGATGGAGCAGTGGAGTCTAAACTGATGTTTCTCATTTAGACACTGTAAGATGAGAGCACCTTTTCCCAATAAACTGATTTTCCCCTTGCAAATTAATGTAACCCAGATGGTAAGGATCAAGGAGCTGGCCTGATACTCTCGCAATCAGGTGTTCTTTGACAGTTTTTTGCCTGAAATAATGACCTTAAGAGAGATGTGGAGCAGTGTGATGCAGTGTGTGGAATATTGTCACCTCTCCACAATCTCCAGATTAGGAGAAGGGAACAGAGCAATGAATTAGCCAATGTAAAGAGGTTTAAGTATTGTATGGTTTGTGTTTTGCAATTCTTCCCATTCCAATGATGTGTCATACCAACGGTCAGATAAGACAGCGAATGAGAAACTGGGAGAATATCTAGAATCAAATTTCCAAAAAGAATAGCCTTTTGCATGCATAAATTAAATCAATGCTGGTAAATTGGGGGGGGGGATATAGCAACATGTAGACTGTACAGGTAGTCCTTGATTTACAATAGTTTATTGACCATTCAAAATTATAGCACTGAAAAATAACCGGTTTTTTTATAGTTTATGACCTTTCCAGCATCCCATGATCATGTGATCAAAATTCAGATGTTTGACAACTGGTTCATATTTATGACGGTTGCGGTGTTCCAGGTTGTGTGATCACCTTTTGCAACCTCCTGACGAGCAAAGTCAACGGGGAAGCCAGATTCACTTAACAACTGGATTACTAATTTATCAACTGCAGTGATTATAACTGAGACAAGAAATGTTGTAAAATAGGGCAAAATTCACTTCATAAATGTCTCAGTTAATAACACAATTTTTAGTCTCAGGTGTGGTCATAAGTCACAGACCACCTGGATAAGATTTCAAGAGATTATTCTGATTTAGATTTCTGCAATGTATCAATCACGGTGCCTTTATTTTTTTCTATCGCCTTTAGAAAAATAAATAAATATTGAAATACAAATAAATGTTTGCATTGGTCTTGCTTTATGGCGCAGCACTCCGTGGAACAAATTTGAGTAGAAATATTACTTTTGGCAAGATCATTAGAATGTTTTTGGGGGATCTTCTTAATTCTGTTCTGCAGGAGCACACATTTTTGTAAAACTACCTCTAAAACACATTTCAACTAAAAGAAGAATTTAACCTGATTTTGGATTAACGAATGTTTCACTTAGCAACATAAATGTTGGGCCCAGGTGTGGTCGTAACGCGAAGACTACCTTTAACTGGCAAAAGTATTGTGAAATTGGGCATATTTCACTCAATAAGCACCTTGCTTAGCAACAGGAGTTCTGGTCCCAATTTTAACAAGTCAAGGACTAAATTTTAAAGCAACTTTACGTTCAAACTATAGCTATAGTACGTCAAAGTTGACTTGCAAAACACCACTCTCTGCTCTCAGCTTGACAAAGAAACGAGGGAAGGTATGAAGGGAACGTGTGGGAAGCCGGGAAGGGAGAAAGAATTCAAGTGCGCCATTTGCAGCTTGAGAAAATCTCACAACCTCAAGGTCACGAACTGAGGACTTTTGAAAAGGTGCAGACTGTTTTCCCAAAATAAAATGCTTGACCTGGATTGGTGGACAATGGACACTGGGCGGCCTGGGGAGGGGGAAGTAAAAGGGGTTTCATTATACTGCGCTTCCCGCCAAAACCTCAGAACTGGTTTTTCTTCTATGCCTGTATGGATCTCTCCGTAAATTTCTACTCTTGGTAATTGAACCAACGTCCCAGGTGTTTCTTTTGCTGTACAGGCCAGCGGGGCGGTTGACATTATAAGCTCTTTCCCCTGATCCAAAGACACCCCTTTCATTACTTTGGATCAGTTTGGATAAGTGATTTCTTAATGCCTCCAGGGGGAAAGAGCCAGGGTCCACTTGCTCCAAATAAAGGTGACTGCCAATGAACGTCACTAAATGCCGGGTTATGCAAGAACGGCCTGCAAAATAGACGGTCGGGTTGGAATCCATTCCAGCCGAAAGATCAAGAGACAAAGTTGATGTCATTGCTCTCAACCGGCCTTATGGGATCTGTGGAATCCAAGACTACCGTAGTTCAGGCTGGCAAATGGGGCTTGGCATGGATTGCCCCTTGCACCACAGTGAAGAGCCACGGTGTTGACACGTGCCTTGTGTACAAGTGAAGGATGTGGCCTTGGCAACGCAGCACAAATATTGTTGAACCCTGGGGGGAGAGAATAAGGGATACGCATCTCTTCGTTTTACCAGGTGGAAGGGACGATTGCTTGCAAGAGCCAAAACAAACACTGGGTCTGTTCCCAAACCATCTTCTCTTGTTGATTTAATGGTATAAATGTGCTTAGGACACTTCTCCAGGTCTACAGCACAAGCTGCACCTCTGCCTGAGCAGGAAGCACCAGAGTGCCAAATGGGGCCTTTACGGAGAGGAAGCTTGATAGGGCAGGTATGTGACATTTATTTTTTTGCCCCAAATACCAAAATGAGAGTAGAATTATCTAAATTGCTGCAACGGGTATAAGATGCAACAAAGAAAGATGGTATGATTCTTAGATTTCAGTTAATATGCACCCTCTTGTGCACATGCTAGGATAAGGGTAATCCCCATGGGATTTAGTGGGAGTTTTTTTTAACAACACTGCATAGAATCAGGTTCTAAGGGGTTTGGTTTAACCAGAAATGTTCCAAGCAAAAGAGAATTTACAGTTACAAAGGTTTATGAATGGCGTTAATTAAATTCAATTACATAAAAAGTCGCAGCAAAATGAAAGTCCACCTTGGATTCAAGAAAGACTTTTAAATAAATGATATAACTTTTTAATCCGATATCAATCTTGACTCCTAATGATTACATGGATAGTTCATGTAGTTTTCTTGGCAACAATTCAGGAGTTTTCATTTGAGAGTGCATGGACTGACCCCAAATCATCCAACTGTTTTTTTGTGCCTAAGGGAGGCCTAAAACTCTTTGTCTTTCCTAGATCAGTGCATTTAACCATAATATCAAACCACAGTTCTATACAATTTCCCAATTTAGGCACTTTCCATATATATGAACTTTCAATTCCTAGAGTTCCTTACCAGACAGGTTTAATCCAGCATAGCTGTTTAAGGAGCAGCAAACTTTGGCTGGGCCGTGAATGTAATTAAACCTCAAATATAGTTATTCAAAACTTAAGTCCTCAGGGGTAATGATTACAATATGCTTATGACTGAAACTTCATTTAAGGGGAATGGAAATAGGTAGGCTGAGAAGGTGTTTCCCGGCAAAGGTTAATTTTAAGAGTCGAGACAGATAGCATAATATATTTAAGAGTGATGATCACCATCCTATAGGAATACCGGGTAGGCTGGAAGCACAGGTAATACAGAGGATACCTGCTTTGCATCTAGGAAATCCCAGGTTTGATGCTGAAGAAACTCCTCCCCAAATCCTGGAGAGCCATTGACAATGTAAATACTGGAATTGGCAGTTTCCTCTGTTGGAAGATAAGTAGGCAATTCAATTCATAGTGACAGAAAAATCCACACCAGTATGGTGCTGTTGTAAAGGAATAGAAGCCAGAGTAGGGGAGCTGTCAGGTTGGAGGACGAAAGGTTTGCAGCAGAGAGCAAGGAAGGAGTAAACCACACAAAGCCTCAAAGATAGGAAGGTTCAGTTAAGGTCTGGAGTAAGCCGAACCTCGCCAGCAGCACATCTTCTGCACGCATTTCCCTGCTTCTCTTTGTAACGGGCAGGAGTTAGGTAGGTGTGAAGCTCGGCCGCCTCCACTGCTCACAGGGAAGCCCGGGGTGACTGGAGGTTCCCCAGAAGTTTGGACTCCATATCCCATAACCGTCTCAAAAGGTGCTTTTTCAATTAAATTTGAGACAACTGGGGCCCTGGATGATAAGAACCTCCCAAGACATCGCCCATAAATCTTGCTGGCCGGGGATGATGGGACTTGTAGCTCGATGCTCAGAGGATGCCAGGGGAGAGAGACCACCCAGGGCAAGGGTCTTCAAACTTAGCAAGTTTAAGGCTTGTGGACTTCAACTCCCAGAATTCCTGAGCTAATAGGACTGGAGGAGGGAATTCTGGGAGTTGAAGTCCACAAGCCTTAAAGCGGTCACGTTTGAAGACCCCTGTCCCAGGCTCTCGGAACTGATCCGCGGCCACGTGGTCCAGGGCGGTCACGTGACGCGGCAAAAAGGGGCCTATCACGTGACCCTCCTCCGCCTCCGGAGTGAGACGACGCGGCGGGATGGTGGCACTGAAGCGCGGGCTGCCGCGTCTGGTGGCTTCGCTGCGGCCGGTGAGCGACCAAGCCCAGTGGGGCGGCTCCACTTGGGCCTTTTTGCAAGGTGGCCTCGGGCGCTGCCCTAGCTGGACCTTCGGGCGCCTTCCGCGCGCTCGGGACTACAGTTTCCAGCAACTCTGGCGTAGAGGGTGAATGGCAGAGGATTCTGGGAGTTGCAGTCCCTCCAAAAATCTGGAGGGCGCTTTCCTTGCCTGGGTTTCTTAGCTTGAAAACCCGTGGCTGCATTCGCTTCAGATACTGACTTGGATTAAGGTTAAGGTTGGCTGTTGGCTTCTTTGTGTTGGGAGAACGCCACCTGCTTCAGTCCTTTGCCAATGCAAACCATTTGAAAAACTCCCAAGCATCGCCTGAGCGTGTGTGTGTGTGTGTGTGTGAGAGAGAGAGAGAGAGAGAGAGAGAGAGAGATTTTCACTCGGGAATCAGAACAAGTGGGCCGTGACGTGGGTTCCACGAGTCCTAAAGTGTTTTGAGAAGTTTGTGATAAAGTTAAGTCTGCTCAACAAAACAATATGGGCAGAACGTTTGCACCTCTCCTTACTACATGGGTGTATGTCTGGAGTAGGGAGCTGTGGCTTTGAGCCTTCTTCGACCCTGGCTGGGAGTCCTGGGGTGAGGTGAAGTCTCCATGCACAACTCTGATCTGTGGCTGCAACATGTGCGGGATAAGAATAGTAGCTTTAACTTTTCCAAGGACTTAGGATGCACTCCAATTTGTTTGATGGCTGGTCTTTTTGGGGGGTGGGGGGTGGGGAGTCATTCTTATCCTAAGCTAAGCATGGCTCCCTTTTTACTATGTGGCGCTGTGCCTTTTGGGGGGGCAAGAACAAGGAAAGAACATGATGTAGCATATACAGGTAGTCCTTGACATGACCACAACTGAGCTCAACTGTTGCTAAGCAATACAGCTGAGTTTTGCCCCATGTTCCGACCTTTGCCACAGATATCAAGTGAATCGTTGCAGTTGTTAATAACATGTTTTGTGAAGTGAATCTGACTTCCCCACTGACTTTGCTGGTCAGAAGGTTGCAAAAGGTGACCATATGACCCTGGGATACTGCAACTGTTTATTATTTATTATATATTGCCAAGTGTCTGAATTTTCATCACATGATCGTTGGGATGCTGCAACTGTTGTAGGTGTGAAAAATGCTGTAAGCCACTTTTTCAGTGCTGTTTTAACTTTGAACAGTCACTAAATGAATTATTGTAAGCTGAGAACTACCTGTATATGCAGGGTTAGGACTTTCTGCTAGGACTTTTATGTGGGTGGAGATGATTTAAATCAGGGGTGTCCAGCCTTGGCAACTTTAAGACTTGTGGACTTCAACTCCCAGAATTCCTCAGCCAGCAAAGCTAGGTCAGCCAGGTAATTCTGGGAGTTGAAGTCCACAAGTCTTAAAGTTGCCAAGGTTGGACACCCCTGATTTAAATATTCCTCCTTCAGTAGCACTCAAACCTTTGAGCCTCATTCGCTGGATAACTTACTAATGCTGCCTCAAGGGCATTCCCAGGTTGCCTCTCCAGGCAGCTGCCTTTTTACATTCATGAGCGTACAACTTGGGAATGGCCTTGGAACAGCAGCATTGAGCTTTCTGGCAGACATGGCTGCCTCAGTGCTTTGTGGAGGTGTGTATTGTTTGTACCCATAAGCTTCATGAAGTTTTATTTTTTTTTGCATGCTTTATACAGCTTTAAATTTTGTGTCTTCAACACCTGAAAATATGCAGAAACATAGCTTGTTTTTAAGTAGTTGGGGAAAGGATCAGAAGCCACTAAATCACGGCTTGGGAGCCAAAGATAGCTATGGAGCCTCAGGTTGCCTACTCCTGTCTTAAATGAAGAAAGCTTCCTAGAATATATTTATGATCTTATCTAAAACTGCGTATCAGAAGATGATAGGTAGCCAGGAAGGACAGCTGATAAACATTGACATGTGGGCAGATTGGTTAACTACTACAGTTTTACAATGAACTTTTTTTTAAAAAAAATTATTGGTTTTTAAAACAAACATAAACAAACAAAACATAAAAACATCAAGCCATCTTCCATATATATATATATATACATACAGTGTGCCAGTTGGTTTACAAATTGTTTTGTGCTTCCATTTCGTAGTCTTCAATTACAATTACATTGTATACAATCTCGTATTGTCAATCAAATATTAAATACATTAATATCATAATCATTTGACCATACTTTTATTCATCCATGTTTTATGAAATAATCATATTTTACTTAATTTGTTTTATGACAGTTCATATTATCATCCCAAATCTATCCTAGAATCATTTTGTAGATATAATAAGAAAAGAATACATCTTTATATATTTATTATTTTCTAAAAGTCTACATATTTCATTACTATATTTTATTGTCTAACTATTGATAGAATAGATCCCAAATTTTATAAAATTGTTTATCGTCTTGTTCTCTAATTTCAAATGTCAATCTACTCATTTCAGCACATTCCAATATTTTCTTAATGATTTCCTCCTGTGATGGTGTTTTCTCATTTTTCAAGTTTTTAGCAAATACAATCCTAGCTGCTGTTAATACATTTACAATCAGGTATTTCAAGTCTTTACTATATATTTCAGGTAAAATTCCCAATAAAAATATCTCTGGTTTCAAATCTATATGTTTTTTTGTCATTTTTTTCCAACCACGTGTGGATTTTAGTCCAGTATTTTTTAGCATCCGCACAGGTCCACCACATATGGTAATATGAGCCAGGTGTCTGATGACATTTCCAACATTTTTCGGATTTATTCTTGAACATTCTTGCTATTCTTGTCGGGGAAAATGCCACCTGTAAAACATCTTGTACAAATTTTCTTTATATGCTGTTGGCATTGTCATTTTATAATTTTGAGACCACAATTTTTGCCATTTCTCTAGATCAATCCCATATCCAAAATTCTTCCCCCAAGCAATAATAGTTTCTTTAACTTGTTCTTCTTCTAGTTTAATTTCTAATAAATATCCATACAATTTTTTAATCACCTTTTGATCAGTACCTGTCAAAATCTTATCTAAGTCAGTCAGTTTATCATAGAAACCTTCTGTTTTAGAATCTTTATCATACCTTGAATGTATTTGTGCGTATGAAAACCAATTCATTTTTATACCTTGTTCCTCTAGTTTTTTTATAGATTTAAGTTCACCCTTTTCATTCAATATTTCACCATATCTGTTTGTTCCTTTTTGTATATTATAGGATAAGAAAATGCTTCAATAGTCGATAGCCAGACTGGAATTTTCAAATAACATTATCTTTTAATCTTCTCCCAGTTTAACCACAGAGACTCCTGTATATAATGTCTTCTAAAATACCCCTGTGTTTTAGTTCCTTTATACCATAAGTTTTACAATGAACTTTTAATTTTGCGGTTTCCTGCAGCATAGAGTTCCCTAGAACACAGTGGTTTTCAAAAATGTTTGAAGAAGTGTACTGCATTCTGCATTGAAGAAGTGTACAGTATATAGTATCTGCATGCAGGGATGTCTTACGACAGTGCTGAATTACACCCCAAATGAAGCAATATAAAAGGAGAAACTGAGTCAAATCACAGTAGTTAGAAAGCAAGGCAGGAGTTTCTTGCTGAGCCATCCTAAGGGAGATAGAAAGCTTCTTGATTTGGGATCCTCTAGTTTAGCATTGAAATCTGGGGCAGTGATGGTCCGTGGTTTCTAAAAGGTCTTTCCCAGCCCTGTCTGGATGTGCCAAGACTGCCTCGGAGACCTTGTGCTTCAGAATGGATTCTCTATCGCTGTGCCAAGGCACTTCTTATCTTCTAAAGGTGAGACTTGAGGCTGGCCAGTGCTACTGAATGGAGCATTTGTAATTGGATGCCAATCCTGTACAGTCGTTTTGCAAACAAAATTAGTTGGAATGGAAGCTGTATTCCAAAAGTGTAGACATGAAATAGCCTTAGCTGCTTTGTACTTTGTTGGGATGGCAAGATAATTTTTTTTTTATACTACTTCAGGAATAAAAGTAAATTGGAGGAAAAAAAATGGTTGAAATTATAAATGCCAGCCTTGTGTTAATAAGATCTTCCTGGACCTGATTTCTTCTAAAGACAAACTGCAATCCCATGATTCTCAAGGGGTTATAATCTGACATATCTGGAGATTGAAAGGTTAACGAATATTAACATATCTATCGCTAACAAAATGGCATCTCTTGCAGAATCACAGCAGGAGCAGAGTAATGTTTCTTACATTTGATATACCCAGGATACTATAGATGGTCTACTGAATTGGCATTTTTTTTCTTTCCCTTGTTTTACAGTTCAGTTTATCAGCCGCTGGAACATTTCCCAAGCATGTGAAAATAGTGGAGGTCGGTCCACGGGATGGCTTGCAGAATGAAAAGGCAAGTGACCTCTGCTAAGCTATATTTGGCTTGTAGCTGAAATCTGGAATAAGTGGCTTTGGTGGTTTTATGCTTGTGAAATGAATGTTTTGACATCATTGCTGTTGTGATTTTTCTCCTAGGTAAAACATTGGCATAGCTTAAAAACTCAACCCTCACTCTGTGTTCCCAGAATTCCTATTAGTTTAATTACTTGAAATATGCTGGAATGTGCCAATAAATCAATGTTTACCAAAAATGCCCATTTGGGAGAGTGGATTTGGACATGACCGTGTGATTTGCTTAATGACCACCCTAAAAGTGGTCAAATGACTGAAATTCCAGTCCCAATTATGGTTTGTAAGTTGAGCACTAGTTGTAAGCAATGAGGTTGTTAAGTGAGTTTACACATGACTGTGCCTGATTTTACAACTGCTTTTGTTGTGGTTGTTAATCAAATCTGGCTTCACTCTTTGACTTTGTTTTTGGAAGCCAACTGGGAAGTAAATGTTGATCACATGACCTGGGACACCGCAGCCTTTGTCATGCCGACTGCCAAGCATCCAAATTGCAATCAGGGAATGCTGCAGTGGTTATAAATACAAAGACCAGTCATAAGTCCCTAATTTCAGCACTGTTCTAACTTTGCACAGTTGCTAAATGGGTGGTCATATGTTGAGGACTTACCTGTATGCAGAATCACAAGAATGGAGCTTTATTTGCAATGGGTAAACGTTTGGGTCAGTCTCAAAGTCCATCTGGCATCGGCAAACCTGAGAAAAGGAAGTGTTTACAAATCTGATTGATGTCACAAAGTCAACAAAATTAAATCCGGCAAATGTGTTTCTGTTTATTATAATAGGTATGTTGTTTCTGTGTGGCTGTTTGTTTGTGGGCTCCATTTTAAAAATCTACAGTTAGGGAAATATAGTATAAAGGAGCAAAAAATGGGAAATATTATAGAATGTAGTAATTCAGCCAACAGCTAAATGTCGATAAGGAAATACAATTATAGAATTGCTATTATAAGGGGAATTATCTCTCTCTTTTCAGAATATTGTTCCCACCCAGGTGAAAATTGACTTAATCAACATGTTGTCAGAGACTGGTCTCTCCGTTATAGAAGCCACCAGTTTTGTCTCTCCAAAATGGGTACCACAGGTCAGTATGGAAAAGAACGCAAAGAAGTTGTCTACACAAGCTACAATTACTTTGCTCCTTCGCAAGATCTAGTTCGTCTTATTCAACATAGCTTAATTAAAGCAAATTTTGGCTTCGTCTTTGGTATAAATGAATGTCTCAGCTTGGTTTCCTTCATAATGAGAGGCACAATTTTATGTTTTCCTGCTAATCGCAGTAAATGCAAGATCTAAGGGCTGGAGGTACATCAGGGGTGTCCAATCTTAGCAACTTTAAGACTTGTGGACTTCACCACCCAGAATTCTGGGAATTGAAGTGCACAAGTCTTCAAGTTGCCAAGGTTGGATATTCCTGTTCTACACTTACAAAGGGTGATTAGTCCTCTCAATTTAGTACAGCATGTGGCAGGATTATCTCTGAGGAATTTAAACCTGTTTGTTTTTCATTTTGGTACCTAGATGGCTGACCACACCGAAGTTATGCAAGGCATCAGGAAGGTCTCTGGGGTCAGCTACCCTGTTCTGACACCCAATCTCAAGGGATTTGAAGCAGCGGTAAGAAATCTGCAGTCAAAAAGCTCCTAGGTCTTTGCACTAGTGAGGAAGGTACTAATGAGTGGAGCTATAAAACCCGTGGCACTCTTTTGTACTGCTCTTTGATAGGTACAGGAAGTCCTCAAGTTATGACCACAATGGAGCCTTCCCATTACGGTCGTAAGTTGTGACAAGTGAATCCATGGTTTGCTATGGGCCAGTTTTACTGAAAATGGGAAGTAAAAGTGCCGGTTTTCAACAAAACTGTCTTAAATTGAGCTCATGTGACCACAGGGCCTGCAAATGGCTGTAAATACGGCCTGGTTGCCAAGCACCCAAAATGCAGTTATATGACCCTGGGGGACACCCCCCCGCCCCAAACTATCAGAACTTTGAATCCAGGTAAAAAGTACCTCCCAGTTCGGTCCATCAGAAGTTCAAATGGTCACCAAGCAACTAGTCGTAAGTCGAGAAATACCTATCTGTCTTCTCTATCTCAGTTGAAAAAGCAGATCCATATCTTCACCCAGGCAGATCACTAGCCTGAACTGAAGAGCTACAGCTGGCTCTCCCATTCGTTGCTTTGGCACTGCCCTTCTGGTTTCTCATCCAGAGTTTCTGCTTCCCTGTGTCTTGCGGACGTGGTTGTCCGGAAGACCTTGTGTCCCAGCAGGTTGGCTTGGTGACCTTGGCCAGTTACACTCCCAGCCTATCTCGCTCAGAGAGTTGGTGCTGTGGGAGAAACAGGAGGAGGGAATATTAGGTATGTTTGTCATCTTGTGGTAGCATGAGGGGAGGAGTGAAGAGGGGGCTAAGTTTAGAGTCCTTGCACTGCAGGAAGCAGGAGAAGCCTTATCTGACTAATCCCAAGAGAATCTGGCAAGATTCTTGTAAATAGACATTGCGACAACAAAGAAGAAACTTTTATTCGCTCACAGAGTCGTTCTGATTCCTTGTGCCTGATACTTATAAAGTAATAAAGGTGGGATAACAATCTAATAAGTACATAATGGATAAAGTCATCACAAGGGGAGGAACAAGCGCTAGGCTTTTCTGAACAGAGAAATGTATAATATCTAAGCTCTTTTTTGTGTTGTTGGTAGGTGGCAGCCGGAGCCAAGGAAGTGTCAATCTTCGGAGCAGCTTCGGAACTCTTCACAAGAAAGAACATCAACTGTTCCATAGAGGAGAGTCTGCAAAGATTTAGTGATGTTCTGCAGGCATCCAAAGAAGCCAGTATTCCAGTCCGAGGGTAAATATTAGCACTGCATGCTGATTTGGGTGAGGAACAAGAATCCTTATGTGTAGCCCATGAGAAGGAGGAAGGAAGGCTGAGACGTGGACGAAAGAAGGATCTAAGCAAGAAACTATCCAGCATCCTTTCCAGAAAACACAAAAATGTTCCTCTTAGCTCCATCTTCCCAATCTAGCACTCTTCAAATGTGTTTAGCCTGCAACTCCCAGATTTTCAGGCTGTCTTGGAATTCTGTTTAGCAGTTAGTCCTCATGATGGCTGTGAAAATATTTACAGACCCATCACATCCCGGACATGAACTGTTTTAACTCCTTCCCTCAAAACAACGCTATAGAGCCCTGCACACCAGAACAACTAGACACAAGGACAGTTTTTTCCTGAAAGCCATCACTCTGCTAAACAAATAATTCCCTCAATACTGTCCAACTATTTACAAAGTCTGCATTACTATTACCATTAATCTTCTCATCACTCCTTATCACCCATCCCCTTCCATCTGTGACTGTATGACTGTAACTTTGTCGCTTGTATCCTTACTATTTATATTGACTGTTTCCTAGTATGATTTGTTTGCTTATTGCACCCTATGAGTATTATTAAGTCTTGTACCTGATGATTCTTGACTCTTGACTAATGTATTGTTTCTTTTATGTGCACTGAGAGCATTTGCACCAAGACAAATTCCTTGTGTGTCCAATCACACTTGGCCAATAAAAGAATTCTGTTCTGTTCTGTTCTGTTCTATTCTATTCTATATTTTCTATTCTATTCTATTCTATTCTATTATATTCTGTATTTTCTATTCTATTCTACTATTCTATTCTATTCTATTCTATTCTATATTTTCTATTCTATTCTATTCTGTATTTTCTATTCTATTCTACTATTCTATTCTATTCTATTCTATTCTATTCTATTCTATTCTGTATTTTCTATTCTATTCTATTCTATTCTATATTTTCTATTCTATTCTATTCTGTATTTTCTATTCTATTCTATTCTACTATTCTATTCTATTCTATATTTTCTATTCTATTCTATTCCTATTCTATTCTGTATTTTCTATTCTATTCTATTCTATTCTATTCTATTCTATTCTATTCTATTCTAATAAACAGTCTCCTCCTCCTCCTCTGTAGATGTTTTTAAAAACCCTACGTGACCTGGGGAAGTTACCTGGGGAAGAGGTTGCATTGCACCTGTTCCCCCCATCAAAAGATATTACGTGATGGATCGATATCTTGTGAACGAAACCAAGGGAGGCAGGGGCTGCTATTTTTCATTAACCGGCTTCCATGACTTTACATAACAGCGTTGCATTTCTCTTCCCTCCTCCATGCAGCTACGTCTCCTGCGTTCTTGGCTGCCCTTATGAAGGAAAGATTTCTCCTGCTAAAGTGGCAGAGGTGAGTTTGTGACGTGGGCCTGTTCAGAAGAAGTGTTCTTTCTGGTAAACTCCCACTTTTCTACAAAAAACCCCCTAAGACGAGCCTTTGAGAAGAGTGTTAAATCTCACCACACATGTATTGTCCTACTGACTGAGTAGGATTTGCCTTCTGTTCCGATTTCATTGCAAGGACAGGAGAGAGAGCACAGGTTAGACCAGAGCTCTCCAACCGTGGCCACTTTAAGCCTGGCAGGACTTCAAGCAAAGCTGGCTGGGGAATTCTGGGAGTTGAAGTCCGCCAGGCTTAAAGTGGCCAAGGTTGGAGACCCCTGGGTTGGAGGATCTGTATGGAGAAAGTTCCATGTTCTATTTTGGCATCCTACAGTATCTCCGGACAGGTTGTTTGTTTGTACCTAGCCGGGCCTTGGTGAGCTGCTTTAACTCACCATAAACAACACTGAATTAGATGCGAATAAACCTCTTGACTTGGAGTGAGGCTCATAAATATCCAACCCTCTGACCAGCAGCTGTCAGTGAATGAGGAAAAACACACACGGCACCTCTGCGTGGGATAAATTGAGCGCATTCCCCTTTTCACCCCGTTGCTTTTACGATGTGTTAGAGTTCAGTTTGAGTGATGCAAATTGAAATCCCAGAGGTTGAAACTCTGAAAGCTGGCTTTTCCCTGAAGAACTAAGGTTATTTTATACAGGTAGTCCTCAACTAATAGCAATAGCAATGGCACTTAGACTTATATACCGCTTTATAGTGCTATAAAGCTCTCTCTAAGCGGTTTTACAGAGTCAGCATGTTGCCCCCAACAATCTGGGTCCTCATTTTACCCACCTTGGAAGGATGGAATGACCATAATGACACTTGTCATGGAGTCCAGAATTTATGTCATACATCATAATAGTTCTAAGCCAAGGCTTTCATGTGCCTAGAACCAATTTTACAAGTTTTTTGTGGTTGAGCAAATGCCATGGTTGTTAAGAAAACACCACTGCAACTAGCTGTAAAGTTGAGCTAGTTGCCAAATGCTCAAATGTGTTCCTGTGGCTGTGGGGAGTTTGTGTGTGTGTGTGTGTGTGTGTGCAGCTGGAATTTGAGAATTGGGTTTTATGTAGCTTTTGGGAGGGTTGTCATAACTTCAAACAGTTGCTAAGTGACTGGTCATTAAGTGAGAATGACCTGTTATGAATATTTTTGATTTTAAGAGTTGTGTGCCCATGTTATCCATTGCTTTAATATTGAAGTATTTTTTTTTATAAACTAACAGTCATGGATTGCTGTAAAATTCAGATCACGGAGGAATCTGGGTTGAGGACAAGAAGATTTCCCATCTAAAGGAAATTGATTGTGTGAACAAGTAGATGTAGGTTTCTGGATAAAGATGGAAAGCTTGGTTTGGGTGGCATAGATGGCTAGGGCAGTTTTTATGACTTGGAATCTTCATGATCTAAACCAGGGGTGTCCAACCTTGGCAATTTTAAGACTTGTGGACTTCAACTCCCAGAATTCCTCAGCCAGCAAAGCCAGCAAAGCTGGCTGAGGAATTCTGGGAGTTGAAGTCCACAAGTCTTAAAGTTGCCAAGGTTAGACACCCCTGATCTAAACCGTACTTTTCCTATGGATTCCGCAAGGAAGATTCCACGGATTGTGCTCTCAGTCTCACCTGAGAAGCCCAACCTGGGGGAGTCTATGGAGATTCCCAATCATCCAGGTCATGGTTGTCCCAAAGGTGTTTTTTCCAAAAAGGCAACTGGACTTTCTTGGTGTTTTCTTGGAAAACAGGTTGATTCACATCCAAGAACTGAAGAAGCACTTTGGATGAGAAGCAAAATATTTTCAAAGAAAACGCCAAGGAAGTCCAGTTGTCTTTTGGCAAAAAAAAAAAAAAACAACTTTGGCTCAACCTGAAGTTTATTTACCTGCCATTTGCAGCTGTGGCAAGAAAAATTGGGCAAACTGGACTGAGCGCCAGTTCCAGGAAAAGAAAATCCTGAAGATGAATCCATCCTAATTATTACAGTTGTCTGTTGAATTTGCAAAAGAAGAAAAACCAATAAGAAGCTACATTAAAAAAAAAATCTTCTTTGCGACAGGTGTCAAAGAAAATGTATGCGATGGGGTGCTATGAGATTTCCCTCGGCGACACCATTGGTGTGGGCACCCCAGGCAACATGAAGGAGATGCTGTCTGCAGTCATGAAGGAGGTGCCCGTTGAAGCCCTTGCAGTTCACTGCCACGACACTTATGGACAAGCTCTTGCCAATACACTAGTAGCACTACAGGTGAGTTTTCATTTAGTCTTCGAAGCA